TTTTTTTTTTTTTTTTTTTTTTTTTTTTTTTGAAAAATTATTATTTTAAAAGTGTTCAAATTGGTTTTGCTCATTGTTCTTCCTTATTCTCCCTTATGACAGCACTGTTCAATTTGGTCAGTTATGATCTGTTTATTTGGTAAACAGAAAAAAGGCCAGTAATTAAGTGTTTTCTTCTTGCTTTACTGCTTTTTTTTTTCATTCTTTTTTGTTTTTGCATTTTGCTTCACCAGCAATATTACAAATCTTGTCGAGAGATGAACAAATAATACGTTTTTGAAGAATAATAAAAATTTCCAGAAGAAGAGGTTGAAAAGTTAAAAGTTCAAAACACAGTATAGCTGAGAAAAAAAAGAAAGACGAAGAATTAAAGCTCAAAAAATCATACAGTTTTTGTACTCTTTTTTTGACACTAAAAGATGGGTATATAAGTGTGAGTATTTTAAAAATTTTACCGTTCATCAGTTGCTTATTGTTAACAGATGAATAGAAAACCACAGTTGGAAAAATTTTCTTCTTTTCTCCTTTCTGTTATTTGTTATTTGTTGAGGCAGTTCTTTGATTTTTCAGTCTTCTTGACGCTGCAATTCAACGCCTAAGTTGAGGATAACATCGATGTTTTTTTGATTCTTTTATTTAAGCTTCTAATCTGTTTTCTACAGTGAAAAGATAGCTGATTTGTCTGTAATGCTATATTTCTAACATTTTTTCTGCTTTTATTCATTTATTTACAATTATGTGTATATGTATTTTTTTTCTATACAAACAGTATGATGAAGAAGGAAAAGTTTTTCCTTTCAGTTGTTAGATAATAGAATAAAGAAATTGAGAAAGCATAATTGAACAATGCAATCAACAGACGTAATATCCATCAATCGTATCAATCATAAAAAATGTCATCAAGAAGAAAAATTTTTTGTTTTTTGTTCCTGTCATGCTCTCCCAAATCTTTATAGGTGATAAAAAAATAAAAAAAAACAACTTTGAAGACATTATATCTGTAACTGTGTTACAGAATTGGTGACAAAAAACTGACAGTTGAAATGGTCAATTTGCAAAATTGAACACCGGTTCAGTCCCGTCTATCAGAATCTCATCAAATTATCATTGCTACTGATGCTCGTGCTGCAACTAATCTAATCTGTCGATTCTTAACAACGTTTATAACCTATAATCTCTGTTTTTGG